CCACTTTATTATCGCTTTCTGGCCTACGTGTGATAACGTCCATAGTGTCCCAGCCTCAGAGGATGACAGTGGCAAACCTCCTCTGAACAAATCTTGTCAAGAAAACCCCAGGATAGGTTTAGATTCAGGTTTCCATAAGTTGGAAACAGCTTGAAGGAACACAACAACAGACAACAAACATCAACCAACCAACCAAGAGTATGTAGCTTACACCCATATGGATAAGAAAGGCGAAATTATAATTTTAAAACTACTTCTTCTTATAGCTTTGTCTTTTTAGAACTGAAAATATGAAAATATATTTCATATATTTTTAAAGAATATAAAAAGCCTTGTGTCACCTTTATGACTTACCATACATTTCATATTGCCCATATTTGTCAGGGACAGTTCCAATTAATTCTGCTATCCCACTTTTTCAGCTTCTCTTAAAATGTTTGAGTTTCTCTCTTATCCTACTTTCCCTCTTTGTCTTCAGCTTACTTCCATTGCTACAGATGGAGATCAAAGTACAAAAGTAGTTTTCACCCACTTAATTCAATAGGAAAAAAAGCAAAAGAAGGGTGGAATAATGTCCTTCCCAGTAGGCTCAGGAAAAAACAAACAGCTGCACCCTTTCAAGGCTTGTTTGTTCTTTCTGATTAATAACTTTTGCTTTCTTGTCTACACTGTGATGTTACTTGGCCACATGCATCCCAGTGTTCATCTGTAAAATGTGTGGAGTCATAAGTTTATTTCAGCACAAGGTTCTTCTAATTACAGCCAATGTCTTCAAGTGCACCTGAAGTAACAAGCTGTAATTCACACAAAAAAAAATTATGGTGAAATAAATTGGTTAATGTGATAGGTGACACAAGGCTCCTTTCTTTTTTATATATACTGAAACAGACTAGCATAGCTGTCTCTCTAAAAACTCTGGAAAGCAGACAGAGGATTGCAATAAGTTGACATACACAACCCAAGGTTGAAAGACTACCGTGCTCATGACAAATTTCCCTGGTATTTGAAGCAAACCAGTATCCCTTCTCAAAGATATTAATCAATAGAAAAAGAGAATGTTCATGGGAGGAAAAGCCCATTGACAATCAATCAATTATTCAGCCAGCAAGAAAGCTGTTGGGTCTTATATGTCAATGATAAAATTAAACACAATTTTATTTAAATGACTGCTTCAGAGATTATTATCTGAGCCCTGGTGATGCAGTGGTTAAATGCCTGTACTACAGTACTCACTCACAAACCACAAGGTTGTGAATGCAATACCAGCTAGGGCTCAGGCTCGACTCAGGCTTGCATCCTTCTGAGGTCACTGAAATGAGTAGCCAGATTGTTGGGGCAATTAGCTTACACATTGTAAACCACTTTGATATGGCATAACACAGTATATAAATGAAGCTGCTATTGCTATTGCTACTTTTACCTCTAAAGTTAATGCAGCTTTTTATCTAGGAAGCAGGGTAAAACATCATAACTACAGGGTCTAACTCTAAATATATTGATGGAAGCACAGAGTCAAAGAAGGAGCCCTGTAGAGAATTTAAACCATTTTAATCACTTCCCTTCACAGGGAACTCTTTGAGCTAGGTTTGTGAGAAAAACTAGGTAGGAGTATACAGAGAATTCTCAACACCCACATCAAATGACAGTAGTTATGATTTCTTGGGGGAATGGAATGACTGATATAAAACTGAACTGAGAGTCTGGTTTTAGTATATATTAGGGAAGAAAGAACCTCTCACCTTTGCTACATCCCATGTTTTCTTTTTTATGAAGCTCAGTATCTCTCCATCCTATTTATGAAGATATTTTTGAATTTTGGTACACTGTTTTCAAAAACAAATGAACCAAATTCTTAACTATCTTTTCAAGTGAAATCAATAAGTAGAGCTATTCTCTGTATAGAGGCAAGCCTGTATGTCCACCATGTAGCTGGTAAAAATGCTGCCAAGAAGTGATAATCTAACATGATTGAATATACTGGCATCTGAAACCAGATTTTTAAAGACTAAGCACTCAAATCCTCCACCATAGCAGGCAAATCTATCAATTTTGTGTCCGTTTACATTCAGCTGAAAGCAAAATCCAAGCTATTTCCACTGAAATCATAAAGAAATGTGTGAAATGTTCTAATTTTAAAATTACCCAAGTAAAGTTATCTCCCATATCTCGTACAGATATAAAAGGTAAAGGTAGTCCCTTGACATGAATGTAGAGGGTGGTGCTCATCTCTGTTATTAAGCCAAAAGGCCAGTGTTGTTCAAGGACTACTCTGGTGGTCATATGGTCAGCATGACTGCACCGAATGCTGTTACATTCCCACTGAAGTGGCACCTATTTATCTACATTAATTTGCATGCTTTTAAACTGCTAAGTTGACAGAATCTAGGACTAGTGACAAGAGCTCACCCCATCATGCAGCAATCTGGTGTTGAACTGCCAACCTTCTGATCTTCTGATTATCAGAATTGGGGTATTAACCACTAAGCCACCAGGCGCTTTGAGAGAAAAAGTGCCCAACATTGCACTCCAAGGGTTCCCTTCCTGAAGCATCACAAAGCTGGAGCATCACATTCACAACCCAACTCTCTGATGTAGGACAAAGGAGACATGATCCTAAGACTTGTGTAGAGGTGGTCAGGAAAGTGCCACCCATTTGCCAGCAAAACAGCCACTGCTGAAACCAGGAAGGGGAAAAAGAGGGAAAGAGGAAGAAAAATGGGGGAGATAAAAAAAAAAAGGATACTAGCCCCCACAAGTAGCAGGAAGAGGAGCCTCTGCCCAGCTGAGGGGTGCCAGTGGGTGCAGGGACAAAGGAATGGAAGGTTCACCCCTGTCAATGGTCAGGAGAGAGAGGGAGCTGAGGTGATCATGAGGATGATGGTGATGATGATTTATTTTTTGGAGGTGAGGGGGGGATAAAAGGGATATTAATGGGGCTGTTGATGATGCAAATGTATTCAAAACACATGCAAGGCATGCAAGGTTTAATCCAAAATTATGCTGGGTCTATTTGCATCGGTTATTCACACTGCCAATGATGTGAATCTTTAAACAAAAGGAAAAAGAACTTGGGAAAAAAAGGTATTGATTATCCCAAGGTAAGTGGGGTTTTTGGCATCCCTCACCCCCAAAAAAACCTAATTGGCTGCAATCAGGATGTATGTAAACAACAGAGGTTCAATCTGGATTCATCCTGGAATATTTGCATCATCTGAATAGGGTCCAAGAACCAGAGCTTGGTAAATTACAGCTTTTAGAATCCTTCAGCCTGTCTGGATGGGGTGTAATCCAAAAAGGTAACTTTCCAAGATTTATCCAGTACTGTGGGTATAGTCTGTCGATGGTTGCAAGAGGATGTACATTTGATGTCAGCTCTTAATTTGGGCAGATGTTAAAGACAACACCATCTACAAGAATATATTGTTCCTTGACAGTCCTGGATTCCTACTTCTCTTGTTAATCATATGTTAATCATCACAAACCACTGATGTTTAGATTTAACTTAGTCCTAACAGTGCCATGCTCATAAATGGTGTCATCATATTATCCTTTTTCTTACTTTTCTTGTGGATTTTGTCCAGTGCATTGCTAATTAAATGTATTATAATCTTCATCTATCAGTGTTGGTGTGTGTATGTATTGCCGTCCTCAGTTTTACAAAACTGTGTGGAGTCAATACATGAATATGACTATTCATCACCACTTTTGCCACTATCTTAAGATGGACAGTGACTATCTGGAAAGAGGTGCTTCCTCTATCCATGGAGGCTCTCACCATGATTTTTGACACTGGTGTTTTAGCATTGCAAATGCGTTGAAGGGACTATGCAGATGTGAGAGGCTTCCCTCTTCAAAACCAAACCAAATAAATGCTCTCCTTGTGTAATGCATAAGGAAGGGAATAAAGCTAGTTTATTCTGCACAATTTGTCTGAAGTCTGAAGGAGGGTTTAGGTAATAAGTATGCATTTAAATATGAATTGCAGAAAGGGGTGGGAGACTGACCATTCCCATCACATTTTGACAGGAACGCAATGATTTAGCTTTTCTTCAAATGGTCTGAACTTAGGAGTTATGGTTTCCATAGAAACTGGGCAAATAAGCTTGGGTATTAAAGATTTTGCTTTGTTACAGAAGTGAGCTCTGTGAAACATACCATGATCTAAGATAAATTGAAAATTCAATCTGCTACAGCATATACTTTAGCAAGAAGGGCTGTTTTTCTTCAATCTCTCTCTGTGCAGGAAACAAATGCCATATATTTAAATGTTGTACAGATTTTAAAGGAGATTGTGTGTCTTCAGGCTCAAACACTAAGCTGAATTCTTCATACAGTTTGATCTCATCCTAGGCTTCAGTTCTTTTCAAAATATATGGTGAGATTCTGCCAAATGAAATACTAGAGTATTCTTCCCCCTTTTTATTATCACTATTCAGCCTATTCAATTGTGTGGTTTGTTTGGCTGCTTAAAAACAATATTGTGTGATAATGTGGTGTTATTCTCAAGGAGGTCTGAGTTAAAAATATGGCTGAGAAGGGATAGAGAGCATGGCATTGCAAAGATGTTTTCTAAATTTAAAAGGGAAGGGAGGGAGGGAGCTCAGCCACTTTGGCCCAAAACACACTGCAAAAATAATCCAATTTAAGACTGCTTTAACTGCCCTAGCTCAATGCTAGGGAATTCATAGAATCATAGAATCATAG